AAGCATCTGGGGGTGCAGGATAATCTTGGAAGGTGGTGGTGGGGGCAGCTCTGTCTTCTGGACGTTATCGAATCCTTGGGTGGAAGGGACCTCAGTGGTCTTCTAGTCCAGCCCCCTGCCCGAGATCTTGCCTCAGAAGTTGTGAAGGCTCCAACACTGGAGGCTTTTTAAGAAGACACTGGACAGCCATTTGTCTGGAATGGTGTAAGTAGGGTCTCCTACTTGAGAAGGGGGTTGGATTAGATGACCTCCAAGGTCCCTTCCAACTCTGTTATTTTGTTATAGAATAACAGAGTTGGAAGGGACTTTGGAGGGCATCTATTCCAGCCACCTGCTCAGGCAGGAGACCCTCCTACCATTTTGGACAAATGGCGGTCCAGTCTCTTCTTAAAAACTTCCAGTGTTGGAGCATTCACCGCTTCTGGGGGCAGGTTGTTCCACTGGTTAATTATTCTAACTGTCAGGAAGTTTCTCCTTAGTTCCAGGTTGCTTCTCTCCTTGATGAGTTTCCATCCGTTCCTTCTTGTCCTGCCTTCAGGGGCTTTGGAGAATAGCTTGACTCCCTCTTCTTTGGGGCAACCCCTGAGATACTGGAAGACTGCTATCCTGTCCCCCCTCGTCCTTCTCTTCATTAAACTAGACAGACCCAATTCCCGCAACTATCCATCATACGATTTAGCCTCCAGACTGTCTCATTTCTTGATGAGGATGCAAACACTTACAGTCTCTACGTGAGCAGCTTCTTAAATACTCTGCTCCAGAACCCAAAGCATGAAGCAACGATGGCATATTGACCGTCAAGTTTTATTTGCATTGCATTCCAATCCAGCCTGTCTTTCTGGGAAACTTCATCCTGCTTCAAAGTCTTTTATTGGGACAGCAGCTTCCTTCGGCGGAGACCAATCGCCCTGTCTATCAATTCTGTCAGATGTCAATAAATAAGGGGAACCGTTTTGTTTCCCTGCCCAGGGAATTACAATATTAGAAGGTTGTTTTTCTTTTCTTTTTTTCTTTTTATTGTAGTGTAGTGTAGTTTACTTTAGTGTTTAGTTTAGTGCTTAATGCTTAATTTAGTGTTTAGTTTAATTTAGGGTTTAATTTAGGGTTTAGTTTAGTGTTTAATTGAGGGTTTAGTTTAGTGTTTAGTGTTTAATTGAGGGTTTAGTTTAGTGTTTAGTTTAGTGTTTAGTTTAGTGTTTAATTTAGTGTTTAGTGTTTAATTTAGGGTTTAGTTTAGTGTTTAATTGAGGGTTTAGTTTAGTGTTTGAGGGTTTAGTTTAGTGTTTAGTGTTTAATTGAGGGTTTAGTTTAGTGTTTAGTTTACTGTTTAGTTTAGTGTTTAATTTAGTGTTTAGTGTTTAATTTAGGGTTTAGTTTAGTGTTTAATTTAGGGTTTAGTTTATGTTTAATTGAGGGTTTAGTTTAGTGTTTAGTGTTTAATTGAGTGTTTAGTGTTTAATTTAGTGTTTAGTGTTTAATTGAGGGTTTAGTTTAGTGTTTAATTTAGGGTTTAGTTTAGCATTTAGTTTAATTTAGTTTTTAGTTTCGTGTTTAGTTTAGTTCTTGGTTCAGTTCAGTTCAGCTTAGTTTAATTTTTAGTTTAGTTCAGTTTCAGTTTAGTCGTTTAGTTTTTAGTTTAATTTTCAGTTCAGTCTTTACTTTAGTTCCATTCAGTTTAGTTTAACTTACTTTAGTTCCTAGTTTTAATTTTTAGTTTAGTTCAGTTTCAGGTTAGGTTTAGTTCAATTTGGTTTAGTTTTTTAGTTCCGTTCAATTTCATTGCGTTCAGGTTTCGTTCCATTTACTTCCGTTTGGATCAGGGTTAATTCAGCTCAGTTCAGTTCAGTTCGGAATTTGCAGAATACCCGGGTCCCAACTGTTTATTTATGTGCAGGTGCAAAGCTTAATCTTGAGCACAGCTGGGGAACCCCACTTTTGAGAGGGTCCAACCAACACCCCATTGTGCATTTTAAACTAGCTTTATCTCCCTAATTTATCTGTGGGTTGTTTTTTTTCTCTTTCTCCCAGTTCTCCAGCTGCAGGCGCCCCGAGAGAGACAAGACTTGCTGAGGTTCCAGCTCGGATATCATCATATACTGTAAGTTGGAATCAGACACTACAGTATAGATGATGTACTATCTGGAGCTCCTGGGTCCATCTGAAGCGCCTTCAAGCCCTCCAGTCCAGAAGCATCTCCACCTTGGCTGGAAAAGACCATATATATATTTTTTACTCAAGGGAAGCATTTTCACCGGAGAGAATCAGCAGGAAAGGGGCAAGCATTAGCAGAAAGCCTTGTTCCTTAATATGGATTAAAAGGCTGAGGAAATGGGATTATCTATCTTTTATTCTTTTTTCCAGACCAGATGCTTTGCATGTTTCCTATCAATTTCTCCTTTAAATGCCAAGGAGCCGACAGGACTCCAGAGCCTGTCCTAAGGCAGGAATAGGTAACAGTGTCCCCTTGATGACCTGTGGACTTCAACTCCCAGAATTCCTGAGCCAGCCATATTGGCTGGCTCAGGAATTCTGGGAGTTGAGGTCCACAGGTCGTCAAGGGGACACAGTTGCCCGACTCTGAGTTAAGGTTATGATGGTTGGTAGCACATCAGCCAGATAATAATAATAATAATAATAATAATAATAATAATAATAATAATAATAATAATAATAATGATGATGATGATGATGATGATGATGATGTTTTGCCTGGATCTGAGGGCAGTTAAGAAATATGAAACACAAATAAATAAGTTTGCCAATTTTAGAATAGAATAGAATAGAATAGAATATAGAATAGAATAGAATCTGGAAGAGACCTTGGAGGTCATCTAGTCCAGCCCCCTGCTCAAGCAGGAGAACCTATACCATTTCAGATAAGTGACTATCCAGTCTCTTCTTAAAAACCTCCAGGGATGGAGCGCTCACTTATCCCGTCCTTCTGGGGTAGACAGATGTTGTTTAATAACAGACAACATGTCCTTGCAGGATGTAAACTAACGATTATGGTTGGTGGCACACTCAGCCAGATGTTTAGCCTGGATTTGCCTATTTTATCTACCTATCCAGTCCTTCCCAGGGATCCAGGACTAGGCTGGGTGTTGTTTGATCATTTATATGCAGCCCATCTTGCTAACAGTGTCGCAGAATAAGAGAATAAGCAGAATAACAAGCAGAAGAGCAGAATAACAAGAATTGGAAGGGACTTCGGAGGTCCTCTAGTCCAACCCCCTGCTATCCCCAGGCTTACAGCAAGACGAAAGCTTTAAGCATTTTTTGAGTGTTGTAAACTAGGCTCACCTTATCACCTAGCAGCTATGTTTCATGCACGGAGTGTGTGTGTGTGTGTGTGTGTGTGTGTGTGTGACCCCAAGAAAGCAGAGGTGCAGATGAGGGGAAGGGCTACACTCTGACCTGCAACACAACAGCTCTGCCAACGCCTTGGAAGGCCGACCTCGCGGCATGTCAGCGAAACCGTTACCATTACTGAGTTTAGTAATGGTAAGGGTTCTTCTGCCCTGCCCAGTAGCTTCTTTCCATCACCCCAAAAGCCAGAAGACGCCACCTGACCTCACAAGGACACCGTAGCCCATCATCCTGTGTGAAAATAAAGCCGTGACCCCGGTCCTCTTGACTCTGCTGCCTCTTATTCTTAAGGGTTGTGGGAAACGGTCAGTCCAGGCAGGGCTTTGGGTTGGTCAAAAGGCCAGCTGGGGACCGTCCGTCTTGGTGGGATGGGACTGGGCTGGGTGGGCAAAGAGGGTCCGTCACCCACCCAGGATTGGGGGGGTAGTTTCCATTAATCTGCGTACGGACATTTAATTTAGAATTTGCAAGACGGAGACTGAAGGAGAAGTCCAAGACAGACGCCAGGACTTTTGGTGAAGGTTGAAAAAGATTTATTGGGAATTTTATCAGGAAGGGAGGGGAGGGGGATTGCTCAGCTTCCTCTGCTGGCCTGGAAGATTCGGGGTTCCCCACCAGGCAGGGCGTCCCAAGGAGGCAGGAGGGACCACCCCACAGGGAGACCCCAATACGTCTCTTTGGGGCGCTTCCCTTGTGTTTATGGTGCAAGGAGGGGGGGGGCAATTGCACCCCACTCAGCAGGGGGTCCCGGGGGCAGCCCAGTTCTCTCCCCTATAGGGGTCCCCAACGTCCTGGGTGCCCCCCTGCTCGATGGGGGGCTGGTGGCAGGCCCAGAGCCCGAGAGGAGAGGCTGTCGGGGCTGCTGCTCCTTCGGGTAAAGCACTTTGCGTATGCTCAGAGGAACTGGAGGGCAGAGAATGCTCAAGGCCCTTGAAACACTTGCACGAAGGAAACGGGTCAGGGCAGATAATGGACTCAAAGGCACTTTGTGCATGCTCAGAGGAACTGGAGAGCAAAGGAGACCACTCAAGCCCTTGAAACACTGGCACTACTAGGGAAACAAAATAGAGCCGCTCAGCTCCACGGAGGTGAAAGGGCCGGAAAGCAAAGCCACTCTGCATATGCTCAGAGGAACTGGAAGGCAGCCCGGCGAGGGGGGGGGGCTGTAGAGACCGCTGAAGCCTTTCAAGCACTTGCAACAAGCAAACAAAATTGACCCGCCCAGCTCCAAAGGGTCTGGAACGCAAAAGCACTCTGCGTATGCCCAGAGGAACTGTGTCTCTGGTCGCCTCCTCCTCTCCACCACGTGAGTCTCTCTCTCTCTCTCTCTGCACGCGCCTTCCCAGGTCGAGCAGGCCTTCTGCGCATGCTCGGGGAAGGGTTGCGCAATGGAAGCGCACAAAAGAAGGAAAAAGCGGCGCCGCCTCTCCTCGACCCTCCGAGGCCCCGCCCCGTTTGGCCCCGCCCCCCTCTCGGCGCCGCCCACGACGCCTGCGCGGTTTCCCGGGCCGCTCTAGCCGCCGCTCGCCTCTGCGGCGGCTTCCCTCGCGCTCCTCCCACAAGGCCTTTCGCGAGGCGAGGGCCAAGATGGCGGCGGGCGCGAGCGAGGGCGCTTCGTGAGGCGCCGGGTCACCATGGCGACGGTGGCGGCGGTGGTGTCGCTGGGCCGGCGGGCCTTGGGCCTGGCCGCGCGTCGGGCCCGGCTCCTCCCGGGCGCCTCGGCCCGCGCTCTGAGCCTGCGGAACTCGCGGCCACGCGGTGGAAAGAGGGAGGAGGAGGAGGGAGGCCGGACCTGCAGCCGTCCTGACCCTCCGCAGCCCTTCTGGGTTGGGCCGGGCCGCCCGCAGAGCCTCGGGGACTCCGCGCTGGATCACCTAGCCGGGATCGCCCCGGGAGAAGCGGGGCCGTCGCTGGGGGGGCCGCCCGCCCCGCCTGTCCCCGCCTTTCAGGGTAGGCCTCGCGCCTGGGAGGGGGGGGACACGTGTCCGCAAGGGGGTCCCCGATGCAGACGTCTCTGGGGTTTGCCCGGTCCGTCTTCGTGCAGGTGGTCTTCGACTTACGACCTTTCGTTCAATGACCGTTTGAAGTTGCAACAGCACTAAATAATAATAATAAAGTTGGAAGGGACCTTGGAGGTCATCTAGTCCAACCCCCTGCTCAGGCAGGAAACCCTATACCATTTCAGACAAATGGCTGTCCAGTCTCTTCTTAAAAACTTCCAGTGTTGGAGCATTCACCACTTCTGGAGGCAGGTAGTTCCACTGGTTAATTGTTCTCACTGTCAGGAAGTTTCTCCTTATTTCTAGGTTGCTTCTCTCCTTGATCAGTTTCCACCCGTTGCTTCTTGTCCTGCCTTCAGGGGCTTTGGAGAATAGCTTGACTCCCTCTTCTTTGGGGCAGCCCCTGAGATACTGGAAGGCTGCTATCATGTCCCCCCTCGTCCTTCTCTTCATTAAACTAGACAGACCCAATTCCAGCAACCGTTCCTTATATGCTTTAGCCTCCAGTCCCCTAATCATCTTTGTTGCTCTTCTCTGTACTCTTTCTAAAGTCTCAGCATCTTTTTTACATCGTGGTGACCAAAACTGGATACCGTATTCCAAGTGTGGCCTTACAAGGCCTTGTAAAGTGGTATTAACACTTCACGTGATCCTGATTCTCTCCCTCTGTTAATGCAGCCCAGCACTGTGTTGGCCTTTTTGGCAGCTGCAGCACACGGCTGGCTCCTATTTAAGGGATTGTCCACTAGGACTCCGAGGTCCCTCTCACAGTTGCTACTATTGAGCAAGGTACCCTCTATACTATACCTGTACATTTGGTTTTTCTTGCCTAAACGTAGAACCTTACATTTTTCACCGTTGAATTTCATTTTGTTAGATAGTGCCCAGTGTTCAAGTCTGTCCAGATCCTTCTGTATCCTAAGCCTGTCTTCTGGAGTGTTGGCTATTCCTGCCAGCTTGGTGTCGTCTGCAAATTTGATGACTTCCCCATCTATTCCCTCGTCCAGATCGTTGATGAAGATGTTGAAGAGCACTGGGCCCAGAACAGAGCCCTGGGGCATCCCACGACACACTTCCCTCCATGTAGATGCGGTTCCATTGAGGACCCCATGCTGAGTACGGCCGGTCAGAAAAGGAACTTATGACCTTTTTCACACTTAATGACTTCCCCCCCATTTCTGTACAGGTGGTCCTCAACTAACAACAGTTCATTTAGTGACCGAAGTCACAACGGCACTGAAAAAAGTGACTTACGACCAATTTTCACACGTGTGACCTTTACAGCATCCCTAGGGTCACGTGATCAAAATTCGGAGTCTCGGCAACTGACTCACATTTGTGACGGTGGCAGCGTCCTGGGGTCATATGACACCCCCCTTTTTATGACCTTCTGAGGAGCAGAGTCAAGGGGGAAAGCCAGAGTCCGTTAACAGCTGGGTTGCTAACTTCACAACTGCCTTGATTCACTCTTTAAGAAGAGACTGGACAGCCATTTGTCTGAAATGGTATAGGGTCTCCTGCTCAAGCAGGAGGTTGGACTAGATGACCTCCAAGGTTCCCAGCTCTGTTATTCTGCACTCTTGTGTGTGCGAGTATGTGTTTTGTGTACACACACACGCACACGCACACACATATATATAATAATTATATATATAATAGTTCTTATAAAGTTATGTTGTAAACCACCCAGAGTCATTTTTTAGGTCGCTTAGGAAATTTAATAAGTAAATAAACGGCCAGTTTGGCTTAGTGGCGAAAGGCACCAGATTACAAACCAGGCGACGGTGAGTTCTAGTTCTAGTCCTGCCTTATGAATGAAAGTGACTGGGTGAATTTGGGCCAGTCCCCCTCCCTCAGCACAGCCCACTTCATAGGGTGGTTCTTGTGGGGCGAATAGGAGGAGGGAGACGTGTTGAAATATGTTGGCTGCTTTGAGATACTTGTACAAATAACGGTGGGATATAAATAAATAAAGACGTGCTTCTCTGGTCTGGCTGGGGTGCAGGGGAAAGGCACGATATTTAGAGCATGTAAATATTTATGCATTTATTTTTGTCATGTTTATGTGGTGCATATTGGAGGTGGTGACCCTTTGAGAGGTATGCCACGAAATTTCATTTTAATGTATGCCGATGAGTGTACATTTCAAGTGATAATAAAGTTATTATTCTATTCTATTATTCTATTCTATTCTATTATTCTATTCTATATCTCCTGAGGTTTGAACCCCACTTGCTGGCATCCCTCACAATGACCCGCTGAACCTTTACACTCTTCCTGCAGGGGAGCATGAATCCTTGCTGTCCCACCGCCCTGATCAGCCGAGGAACCCCAAAGTCTTGAGAGTGGCTGTTATTGGGGCCCCCAACGCTGGCAAGTCCACCCTGTCGAACCAGCTGCTGGGACGGAAGGTAAGGGCACGGCACGGGGCTTGGAAAAAAGCGACAGCCGTCCCTCTCCCTGAACAACGGGCAGCGTCTCCACGGTCAGCCGTGACCTTCGCCGCTAACCTCTGACGAGCAAAGTCAGTTGGGGAAGCCGGATTCGCTTAGCGTGATTCGCTTAACGGCCCTGGCCACAATGGTGGTTAGCCTCTAACCCACCTTGCTTCATAACGAAAATGCTCCCGTTTGTCGTAAGTTGAGGACTACAGTAGGAATAAATGCTGCTCTTCAGGTCTTAACGATGTATAGGTAGACCTCGACTTAACGACCGCAATTGAGCCGAAAGTTTCTGTTGTTAAGCGAGACATCCGTTAAGTGACTTTTGCCCCGTTTTACAACCTTTCTCGCCACACTTGTGAAGTGAATAGCTGCACTTGGTAAGTCAGTCACCCGGTTGTGGCTTTCCCCTCCTTGACTTTGTTTGTTGGAAGGTTGCAAAAGGGGATCCCATGACTCTGGGACACTGCGACCGCCGTAGGCACGAGTCAGTTCCCAAGCGTCTGAGTTTTGATCACGTGACCACGGGGATGCTGCAACGGTCGTGAAGTGTGAAAAATGGTCCTACGTCACTTTTTTTTCTGTGCCTTTGTAACTGGATGGTCACTAAATGAACTGTTGTAAGTCAAGGACTACCTGTAAAACGTTCTGAGTTGTTTTCCTCAACAGATCCTGCCGGTCTCCAGCAAGGTGCACACAACACGGTGCAACGCTCAGGGCGTCATCACAGCCGAGGACACCCAGCTGGTGAGTGGTCGTAACCATGAGGTTTAACTTTTTCTTTCAGGATTGGAGGTGGGCCTTCGAGAGCCTGCCAGCACTGCATTGTGTGGAGAACGGATCCCGCCAGGTTTATCCTTATTTTCGGCTGGCAGGAACAGCGGCAGGTTCATGACAAAGGGTCCCTAACAAATTGAGTATAGAACAGAACAGAATATAAAAATATAATAGAATATACAATATATAATATAGAACAGAGAATAGAATAGAATAGAATAGAAATTAAAGGAATGGAATGGAATGGAATATGGAATAGAATAGAATATAGGAATAGAATATAATAGAATAAAAATAGAAATAGAATTGAATATAGGAATAGAATAGAATAGAAATTAAAGGAATGGAATGGAATATGGAATAGAATGGAATATGGAATACAATAGAAATAGAATAGAAATATAGAATAGAATAGAATAGAAATTAAAGGAATGGAATATGGAATACAATAGAATAGAATAGAATAGAAATTAAAGGAATGGAATGGAATATGGAATACAATAGAAATAGAATAGAAATATAGAATAGAATAGAATAGAAATTAAAGGAATGGAATGGAATATGGAATAGAATAGAATCTTTATTGTCACTTTAAAACAGGGGTGTCAAACTCAATTGCATTGAGGGACGCATCAGCATTGCGGTTGCCCTTGGGGGACCGGGTGGGTGTGGCCAGGGTGGGTGCAGCCTACTGGGTGGGCGTGGATGGAGTGGGTGTGGCCTACTGGGTGGGGCATGGCCAGCTCTACATCGTTCGCGTCAAGGGGGCCTGTGGGGGCTTGGGCAGGAGTGGGACAGATCTGGGGGTCTCTGGCAGAAGGGGGTGGGACCGGGGCAAGTGCCAAGGCATGGTCCATTTCCTCATTCCTCACAAAGGGGGACCCCTCCCCAGCAGGCACCCAGGGGGCGGGGCCAACGTGGCAGGGGCTGGTTCCTCGCTGTTTCCAGACGGCCTAGTGGAGCTAAGACTGAATGCGTTTCAGCATAGATGGCCACCACAAAATTGTACATTGGCTCCCGGCCGGCCTGGGCTAGGACCAAGGCAGCAGGGGCCGTTCCCTCACGGTTTCCAGGATGGCTTCACAGGCCACATGAAACCACTTCGCGGGCCGCATCCAGCCCCCGAGCCTTGTGTTTGATATGTCTGCTTTAAAAGTACACTAATCAGCATACATTAAAATGAAATTTCATTGCCTTCAGCTCTCAAAGGGTCACCATCTCCAATATACACTACATAAACATGACCAAAATAATAATAATTATAATAAAAATTTAAATATATTTTAATAATTATGCATATACCCACATACACAAACATATGACCCAGAGAAACAACACAGTGTAGTTCGTGTGTGTATACATACATACATACATACATACATACATACATACATACATACATACATACATACATAGCAAGAAAAAAGAATCTTGAGAGTTTACCAGACCGATGGCGTTTGGGCTGGCTTTAAAGGCTTAAAATCGCTTAATTCTGTGTTTCTCCACTTTGGCAACTTTACGATGTATGGACTTTAATTCCCAGAATTCCACAGCCAGCCACTTTTTTTCAAGTCACTTTTTTCAGTGCTTTTGTAACTTAAATGGTCACTAAACAAATGGCTGTAACTCAAGGACTGCCTGTAATTTAAGGGACCGTTGTAAGTTGAGGACAACATGTAGTAGCTTCCAATTGTGTTGATCACCAAGGGAGGCAGTTTCAGATGCTGAATAAAGAGACTTTTCAGGTATCTAAAGCAGGGGTCTTCCAACTTGGCCCTTTGATGACTTGTGGACTTCAACTCCCAGAATTCCTCAGCCAGGCACGCGTGCCTGGCTGAGGAATTCTGGGAGTTGAAGTCCACAAGTCATCAAAGGGCCAAGTTGGAAGACCCCTGATCTAAAGGATCACACTGTGGATCCTTCCCTTTTTTCCCTCCCTGATCCTTTGGTGTTCCTGATCAAAACGCAACCTTCCATTTACGTGGAATGGTTTTACTGCCCGGAGTGTCCCTGTCCCCTGAGGGCAATCAGTGTGGCAGTTCATAGCATCCTGGATAGATGGTTATCTAACAAGTTCGTTGTCTTAATTTCCTTTCTGCAACATGGCAAAAGTCAGGAAGATAACTGTCTTGATTGGAACGTGCTTAAATTCCTCTTCTCTCCCTAGATTATCCTGGATACCCCTGGCCTCACCACCGCTGCCAAAGGCAAAAGGTAGGATGGGGTCTAGAATGGGGGTGTCCAACCTTGGCAACGTGAAGACTTGTGGACTTCCACTCCCAGAATTCCCCAGCCAGCCTGCTTTAAGAGGGGTGGGCTTCCCCTCCCAGAATCCCCCAGCCAGCATGCTTTAAGAGGGGGGGGACTTCCACTCCCAGAATTCCCCAGCCAGCCTGCTTTAAGAGGGGTGGACTTCCACTGCCAGAATCCCCCAGCCAGCCTGCTTTAAGAGGGGTGGGCTTCAGTTCCCAGAATCTCCGAACCAGCATGGCTTAAGATGGGTGGACTTCAACTCCCAGAATCCTCACCTAGCATGGCTGGCTGGGGAATTCTGGGAGTTGAAGTCCACAAGTCTTAAAGGGGCCAAGCTTGGACACCCCTGGTCTATGTATTTATTTGTTTATATCTGTGGTGGCGAACCTATGGCACGCGTGCCACAGGTGGCACACAGAGCCCTCTCAGTGGGCACGCGCGCCATCGCCCCAGTCCTAGGCCTTCAGCTGGGTTTTATAAAACCTTCTCGCTTTAGGCCTCCGCTGCCATGTGCAAAAAAAAAGCCCCGGTTCAATCAATCAATTTATTTGAATTTGAATTTATTATATTTATACCCCGCCCTTCTCCCAGAGGACTCAGGGCGGCTTACAGCCAGTTTAAAAACAGTTTGATACAATACAAAATATAAAATTTAAGAGAATAATTAAAAATAAATATTTAAATAGGCCGCTTCTACTAAAATTTAGTTAAAACCAATTTAAAATACCCCTAGGCCAGTCCTGCCCGCTGAAACAACCAAGTCTTGAGGGCGCGGCGGAAGGAGGGGAGATCCGGAATTTAAACTTCTTGCGGGGGAAAAAAAGATCTCGCAAAGTTGGAATTGATTGATTGAACTTGTTAGTCCCACCCAGTCTGCCGTTACCACCGCGGCCACACCCACCCAATGGGCCACACCCACCCAATGGGCCACGCCCACCCGGCACCCGACAATACATAAGTAGGTTTTGGGTTGCAGTTTGGGCACTTGGTCTCTAAAAGGTTCGCCATCACTGGTTTATATTCTGCCTTTCTAGACCGACCATCTCCCTCAAAAAGAGAGCAGACACTTCAAAAACCAATATTGTAAAGAACGCATCTCTTGAACCCATTCCTTAAAATCAGGAGTTTATGCTTCTCTTCATCCATGTAAAACAGGGCTCTTCCAACTTGGCCCTTTGAGGACTTGTGGATGTCAACTCCCAGAATTCCTCAGCCAGCCTGCTTTAAGAGGGGTGGGCTTCCACTCCCAGAATTCCCCAGCCAGCATGGAAGTCCCCACGTCTCAAGTTACCAGGGTTGGACATCTCTGCTGTAGGCAGTGAGTCTTGTGTGTGTGTTTGGGGGGGGGGATAAGCATTCACATTATGACCGACTGTCTTCCATTTCAGACACAACCTGGAAAAATCCATGCTGTCTGACCCGTTCGACAGCTTGAACGATGCAGATTTAGGTGAGGGTTCGGCCGGCCTTCACCGGATGCCATTCCCTGGTTCTGCCGCGGTGATGAGCTGAAGGTGGCAGGGCTGCCACGGGCTCTTGTGCCACAGATCCCTCTGAATTTCGGTTTGCCACTCACAGGGGAAAGATGGCTGGTGCCAAGTTCCTTTCCTCCTCCTTTTTTCCCCCTGCTCTTAAAGTGCTGGTCCTCGTGGATGTCTCGGACCGCCACACCCGGCACCAGCTCCACCCACAGGTGCTACGCTGCCTGAAGCAGTTCCCGCAGGTGCCCAGCCTCCTCGTCCTGAACAAGGTGAGTTTGGCCGTGACTGAGGCCGGGAAGGGGGGGAGGGCCCTCTCCTTTCGGCTCCTCTCTGGGGTAGGTGGGTCTTTCAGGCCTCTTTGGCTCCTGGGGACAGTGAGGACAGTTAACCCGTGGAACAACCTGCCTCTGGAAGCTGTGGGTGACCCATCCCTGGAGGTTTTCGAGAAGAGACCGGACAGCCATTTGGCTGAAATGCTGTAGGGCAGACATGTCAAAATGAATGCTCCAACGCTGGAGGCTTTTAAGAAGAGGCTGGCAGCCCTTTGTCTGAAATGGTATAGGGCAGCGGTTCTCAACCTATGCGTCGCGACCCCATTTGGGGTCGATCGACCATTTCACGGGGTGGCCAAGCAAGGCTGTCCGCCATTTTTCCCCCTTTTCCGGCGGGTGCCTTACCTCCCTTGGGCTGGGCCAGCTGGTGGTCGGCCTGCTCCATCTCTGCCACTTGCCAGCTACGCCTCGGCCGGCACAGGGGGCGGAACCACGCATGCGCGGCGCTCCCGGGAAGGGAAAGTCCTCGACTTACGACCGGTTGGGTAGTCCTCGACTTACGACCGGTTTAGTCCTCGACTTACGACCGGTTGGGGGTCGTGGCATTAAAAAGGTTGAGAACCACAGCTATAGTCCCACCCCCTGCCTGTGCAGGGGGTTGGACTAGATGACCTCCAGGGTCCCTTCCAACTTTATTATTATTGTTATTGTTATCATCATCATCATGGATCATCACACAGTCAGCCAGATGTTCAGACTGGATTTGGCATTTTGTCTACCTATCGAGTCCTTCCCAAGGACCTGGGATAGGCAGATGTGGATTATTATTATTATTATTATTATTATTGATCATCGCACAGTCAGCCAGATGTTCAGACTGGATTTGGCATTTTGTCTACCTATCGAGTCCTTCCCAAGGACCTGGGATAGGCAGATGTGGATTATTATTATTATTATTATTATTATTATTATTATTATTATTATTATTATTGATCATCGCACAGTCAGCCAGATGTTCAGACTGGATTTGGCATTTTGTCTACCTATCGAGTCCTTCCCAAGGACCTGGGATAGGCAGATGTGGATTATTATTATTATTATTATTATTATTATTATTATTATTATTATTGATCATCGCACAGTCAGCCAGATGTTCAGACTGGATTTGGCATTTTTGTCTACCTACCGAGTCCTTCCCAAGGACCTGGGATAGGCAGATGTGGATGTTTGATGGTATTACAGATCTCGTCGCAGGATGGAAGCAGTTCCTAGTAAGGCCGCCTTTTGCAATTGACTAATGGGGAATGTGTCAATGCCGATGATGGTGTTCAAGTGGTGCTCCAGATGTTTTGGGATTGCACCCAAGGCGCCTATTACTATTGGTACCACCCTTGCTTGCCTTTGCCACAGTCTTTCTATTTCTATTTGTAGGTCTCTGTATTTTGTTATCTTCTCCAGTTCTTTCTCGTCTATTCTGCCGTCTCCAGGCACTGCCACGTCCACTATCCAGACTTTTTTTGTCTTTCTTATTGACAATTGTTAAGTCCGGGTGTTATGTTGCAGGTGCTTTTCTGTTTGAATAATTATAATTATTATTATTACCCCAATAAACTACTTTGGCAGGCTTCCTAACGAAAGTTTCAGACCGCCAAAACTCAGGCAGCAATGACCTTGGTTCCCGCAGAACAATTTATTGGGGTTGTTTTTGTTTTGTTTTTTTCACTAAGCTAAAACTCGTGACGTCATGCGACGTATCGGAACACTTTTCCCATTGCTGGCAATAGGGTGGGCGCAATTCCCTCATAAGGCATCCGGCCCACGGGCCGGCAGTTTGACCCATGCTCTAGGGTCTCCTGCTTGAACAAGGGGATGGACTAGGAGACCTCAAAATTGAGGACTGGCTGTAATGGATATTTCACTGATTTCCTGGTGGCGACAAATGAAATAAAAAAAACTATATTTGCTACGTTTGTAATCTTCCCGTTAAGAGTTCAGATTTTATATTAATAATAATAAAGTTGGAAGGGACCTTGGAGGTTATCTAGTCCAACCCCCTGCTCAGGCAGGAAACCCTATACCATTTCAGACAAATGGCTGTCCAGTCTCTTCTTAAAAACTTCCAGTGTTGGAGCATTCACAGCTTCTGGAGGCAGGTTGTTAATAATAATAATAATAATAATAATAATAATAATAATAATAATAATAGTTGGAAGGGACCGTGGAGGTCATCTAGTCCAACCTCCTGCTCAGGCAGGAAACCCTATAGCCTTTCAGAGAAATGGCTGTCCAATTCTTAAAAACCTCCAGTGTTGGAGCATTCACCGCTTCTGGAGGCAAGGAGTTCCACTGGTTAATTGTTCTCACTGTCAGGAAGTTTCTCCTTAGTTCCAGGTTGCTTCTCTCCTTGGTGAGTTTCCATCCGTTGCTTCTTGTCCTGCCTTCAGGCACTTTGGAGAATAGCTTGACTCCCTCTTCTTTGGGGCAGCCCCTGAGATATTGGAAGGCTGCTATCCTGTCCCCCCTCGTCCTTCTCTTCATTAAACTAGACATCCCCAATTCCAGCAGCCGTTCCTTATATGCTTTAGCCTCCAGTCCCCTGATCCTCTTTGTTTTTTACATTAAGCAGCTGACTTGATTTCCCTCCTCCTTTCCGGGATCAGGTGGATCTGGTGAAGCAGAAGGGCGTTCTTTTGGAGCTGGTGGTCGAGCTCACCGAAGGCGCCTTTGGAGGAAAGAAGCTGGGAACCAGGTCTCTGTACCGCCCCCCCAAGAGGGCCCAGAGCAGCCCCGCAGAGGCCGTGGAGAAGGTCCTGGGCTTGGAGAGCGGGACCCTGGAGAGCCCTAAGGACCAGAAAGGCTGGCCGGGCTTCCGGGAGATCTTCATGCTGGCCGCGCTGCAAGAGGAGGAGGTGGACACGCTGAAGGCACGTGAGTGGCCCCCGCCGGGAGCCCAGCGCTCAGCCCTTCAGCCCCGGCCAGCCACCGGGAAGGGTTGGCCATGCTCGCCCCAAAGGGACTGGACTGGTTTTTTCTTTCCTTTGAAAACCTGAACCGAGGAGTTCTTCAGAGGGGGGGGGCAGGGGAAGGGAAGGGAAGAGACAAGACGGAATAACAGGAGTAGGAAGGGACCTTGGAGGTCTTCTAGTCCAACCCCCTGCTGGAATAGGAGACCTTGTACCATTTCAGACAAATGGCTGTCCAATCTCTTCTTAAAAGCCTCCAGTGACGGAGCACCCACAACTTAGGGAGGGAGGAAGGAAGGGAAGGAAGGAAGGAAGGAAGGAAGGAAGGAGGGAGGGAGGGAGGGAGGGAGGGAGGGGGGAGGGAGGNAGGAAAGAAGGAAGGAGATGGGAGGGAGGAAGGAAGGAAGGAAAGGAAGGAGGGAAGGAAAGGGAGGAAGGAAGGAAAGAGGGAGGGAGGAAGGAAAGAAGGAAAGGGAGGGTGGGAGGAAAGAGGGAGGGAGGGAGGAAGGAAAGAGGGAAGGAAGGAAAGGGAGGGAGGAAGGAAGGAAAGAGGAAGGAGGGAAGGAAGGGAGGAAAGAGGAAGGGAGGGAAGGAGGGAGGAAGGAAAGAGGGAGGAAGGGAGGGAGGGAGGGGGGGAGGGAGGAAGGAAGGAAGGAAAGAAGGAAGGAGATGGGAGGGAGGGAGGAAGGAAGGAAGGGAAAGGAAGGGAGGAAAGAGGAAGGGAGGGAAGGAGGGAGGAAGAAAAGAGGGAGGGAGGGAAGGAAGGAACTAACTCTGAAGAAGCTTCTCAGATAAGAAGCGAAAGGTTTTCAAGCAAAAAGTCCAGCTGCCATGTGGAGAAGCCCCCGTGGGACAGACCTGCCCTGGATGACGGGGAATCTCCATGGACATTCGGTTGAAACGATTCGTTCCCAGCCTCGCCAGGATGAGACAGAAGTAGAGGGGTAGGGAGGGGGGTGGGGAGAAGAGCAGAAAATATGCCTGCTTAAAAGTGGGTTTCCTTTTGAGTTGGGGGACATTGCCGCTCTCTGTCATTCGCAGGCTGCCAGTTTGGGAGTGGAGTCACGGCGTCTGGGCTGCTTTTTCTTAGTTGGGTTTGAAATGTCTCGCCGCTGCTTCAAGCCGCTTCTCTATACCTAGGCCAGGAGAGTCCTACCTTGGTCACTTTGAAGGCTTGTGGACTTCAACTCCCAGAATTCCCTAGCCAGCTCCAACCTTGGCCACTTTTGAGACTTCAACCTTGGGAGAATTCTGGGAGTTGAAGTCCACACAAGCCTTCAAAGGGACCAAGGCTGGCCACCTCTGGGCTAGGAGAAAGATTTAGCCAGAGTCTTGCCTAGCGACGGAAATGTTGGGCTGAATTGCGTCCGTAAGCCGAGGACGAGGTGTATCTATGCTGCCAGTCCAGAGAAGAGATGCTGAAGCAGGCAGAGGCATTCTGCAGCCCTCTGGGCAGCCGGGGTGGAGGTGGAGGGAGGGCCTAGAAACCCTGTACAGGTAGCCCCTCCACTCCGGCAGGTGCGACCCAGGATCCTTTGCGCCCACAGAAGTACCTCCTCAAGCAAGCCCAGCCGGGTCCCTGGGAGTACCACAGTGAGGTCCTGACCAGCCAATCCCCGCAAGAGATCTGCGCCAACCTCATCCGGGCCAGACTCCTGGAACACCTGCCCTACGAAGTGCCCTATCTCGTGACCCAGGTGAGCACAGCCCGGCACCCGGGTCCCACCCTTGCCCCCTCCTGGCCCGGCGGATCCGTGGCGGACCTCCTGTGGGCTTTTGTCTCCTCCAGAAAACAGCCCTGTGGGAAGAGGGTCCTGGTGGGGAGCTCCAGATTGTGCAGCATTTGATGGTCCCGAAGGAGAGATACCTGGTGAGTGTTTGGGTCTGGGGTCTCCCCTCTTGGCGGGGGGGGAGGGGGGCATGCGTTTCAGCACAGTCCTGACAGTGAGAACAATTAACCGGTGGAACTCCTTGCCTCCAGAAGCGGTGAATGCTCCAACACTGGAGGTCTTTAAGAAGAGACTGGACAGCCATTTGTCCGAAATGGTCTAGGGTTTCCTGCCTGAGCAGGGGGTTGGACTAGATGACCTCCAAGGTCCCTTCCGACTTTATTATTATTATGCATTTATTTATTGAATTTCTATAGCTGCCCTTCTCAGTCAGTGGAGGGAGGGAGGGAGGGAGGGAAGGAAGGAAGGAAGGAAGGAAGGAAGGAAGGAAGGAAGGAAGGAAGGAAGGAAGGAAGGAAGGAAGGGGACAGAGGGAGGGAGGAAAGGGAGGGAGGGAAATGGGAAGGGAGGGGAAAGAAAAAGGGAGGGAGGGAGCTGGGAATGTGAAAGAGGAAGGAAGGAAGGAAACAAAGTAGGAAGGGAGGGGACATAGGAAGGAAGGGAGGGAGGAAGGAGATGGGAAGGGAGGGGACAGAAAAAGGGAGGAAGGAAGGAAGCTGGGAATTGGAAGGAAAGGGAGGGAGGAAGGAAGGAAACAAAGTAGGGAGGGAGATGAGAAGGGAGGGGACAGAAAAAGAGGGAGGGAGGAAAGCTGGGAATGTGAAGGAGAGGAAGGAAGGAAACAGTAGGAAGGGGGGGACAGGGAGGGAAGGAAGGAAGGAAATGGGGACAGAAAAAGAGGGAGGCAGGAAGGAAGCTGGGAGGCAGGAAAGAAGGAGACAGAAGGAGGAAAGGACAGGAGGTGGGAACGTGGCAGACAGACAGGAAGGAAGGGAAGGGAAGAAGGAAGGTGGGAGGCTGGTAGGGAAGGAAGGGGACAGGGAGGGAGAAAGGAAGGTGGCAGGCAGACAGGAAGGAAGGAAGGTGGGAGAGGAAGGAAGGAAAGGGAAAAGGAAGGAGACGGAAGGAGAGGGAGAGTGGGTGGGGGGTCCTGGTAAAGGGGGCGATGGGCGCACTCGAAGGCTCTTCTCTGCTCCTCCTGCAGAAGATGCTGATTGGCCACCAGGGCCAGGTGATCGGCCGGATCGCCACCGAGGCCGGCTACGACTTGATGGACGCCTTCCTGTGTGAAGTCCAGCTGAAGCTCTCCGTCCAGCTGAAGGAGTGAGCCCTCCCGGGTCCCTTCGGACGCTGCTCCGGTCCGGCCAGAGCGGTCCCTCGACTCTGCGGTCCTCGCTCGGACGTCCCCCCCTCCCTCCCCCTCTCGCGTGCCGGAGAGGGTGGCAGACACTTGGAGGCGGACATGGAGCCCCCTCCTTCCCATCCCAGGCCCCCCAGGGGGCTTCCCGGACGAGGGGCAGCCGGAATGCCTTCCCTCCCGCCCTGATGGCTCTTCACGGACGGCAGACACGTCACGGCGCCCTCACCGGGTACCAGTAAGGGGTCTGGGTGCCTATTTTCACCCCGGGGAAGCCACGGCCGGGGGTCCTGGGGCTGCCACTGGGCTGGCCCCACTTGCTTGCCCCGTGGGTGAAGAACGTTCGGATTGGGCTCATCGGACGGGCTTTTAATTGCAATAAAACGAGGCTCCTCGTCAGAGAAAGTCCCTCCTCCTCTTTTGACGGGGGAAGACAGGGAGGGGAGGTGGAAGAGGCGTCACAGGAAAGCCTCGACTTACGTCCGCTCGTTTAGCGACCGTTCCAAGTTACAACGGCACTGAAAAAAAGGGACTTACAACCGTTTTTAGCACGATCGTTGCAGCCTCCCCTCGGGATCACTTGATCAAAATTCAAGCGCTCGGCAGCCGACTCGTATTTGTGACGGTCGCAGTGTGCCCGGCGGGGTGTGGGTGTATGTGTGTCGCACGATCCCTTTTTGCGACCTTTTCTGACCAGCAAAGTCAATGGATTCGCTTAACAGCCGCATTGCTCCCTTAAAAACTGCAGGGATTCGCTTAACAGATTTGGAGAAGGGGGGGAAAAAAAAACCCGGGGCAAAACTCACTGAAGCTGCCGTCTCGCTTAGTGACGGAAATTTACGGCGCCTGTAGCCCTCGACTTAACGACCGCCACGGAGGCCCAACGTTTCTGCCGGTAAGCGAGACGCTTTTGAGTTGTGCTCCGTTTCGCGACCTTTCTTGCCGGAGTTATTAAGCGAAGCCCTGCACTTCACGGTCGTTAAGCGGATCTGGCTCCCCCCCCCTGTGGACTCTGCTTGTCAGGAGGTCGTAAAAGGGGACGGCGTGACCACCACCACCCATGGGACCCTGCGACCGTCGTAAGTATGAGCCAGCTGCCGAGCGTCTGAATTTCGATCAGGTGACTGCCCACGGTCGTAAGTGCGAAAAACGTTCCCTGCTGTTAACTGAACGGTCGCTAAACAAACGGTTCTGAGATTGTGAGGCTTGTTGGGACACAGGACTGGGGGGGGGGGTCAGGGCTGGCTGGCCCTGCAGCCAGAGTAACCCCAGCCTCGCTCCTTAAAGCAGGGGTCTGCAACCTTGACCCCTTTTAAGACTTGTGGACTTCATCTCCCAGAATTCTGGGAGATGAAGTCCACAAGTCTTAAAAGTGGTCAAGGTTGCAGACCCCCTGCCTTAACACTGACACTGAATTATTGTTATTCAAATTATTGCCATTTTCAGGGTGGCTGACCCCCCTGGGAAGACCACTGCCTTCCCCGGAGCCCCTGGCCTCGCCTCGGGGGTCTTTCCGATGCAGAGAGCTGGAATCTGTTGACGGATTCAGTCCATCTTGGTCAGGCAGAAAATCTTTTCCCAGCTGGAGTTCCCTTAGGAGGAAACCGCCTCTGCCCGATCAGCTGGCCCTAAACGAGGGGCCTCCGGGAGCCAGCCCTGCTCCCTTCCAGGCCTCCAGGTCCGAGCGAAGAGAACAGGGGTCCCCAACCCCCTGGTCCGTGGACTGGGACCGGGCCGCGGCATGCCAGCAACCGGACCGCACAAGCAAGCAAAGCCCCATCCGTGGGAGGCAAGCAGCACATAAAACCACACGCTCTCCAGCCCTGCATTGGAAGACTGAGCTTTGGGGACAGCACATCAGCGTGCTGCAAGGAAGACTGGCAACCCTTTTAAAAATGGCCCTTGCTTAACCTTGATAAGAGGTTAGCCTTAGTTTCAGCTGGGTCCTCCCCAGGATTCCCACCACATCATAGCCAAAACATCTACAGGTTGCCAGGTTGGGCACTTGTGCAGTAAATTAATTAGGGTAATAAAGGTGGGCAGTTTGGAGAGAGAGGGATGGATAGGCAGGCAGGCAGGCAGGCAAGCAGGCAGATAGGCAGATAGATAGATAGATAGACAGACAGACGATAGATAGATAGATAGATAGATAGATAGATAGATAGATAGATAGATAGATAGATAGATAGATAGGTAGGTAGGTAGGTAGGTAGGTAGGTAGGTAGACAGATAGGCAGATGGATAATAGGCAGATAGACAGACAGACGATAGATAGATAGATAGATAGATAGATAGATAGATAGGTAGGTAGGTAGGTAGGTAGATAGACAGATAGGCAGATGGATAATAGGCAGATAGATAGACAGACAGACACAGGCAGATAGATAGATAGATGGATGGATGGACGGACGGACGGACGATAGACAGACAGACGATAGATAGATAGATAGATAGATAGATAGATAGATAGATAGATAGATAGATGGATGGATGGATGGATGGATGGATGGATGGATGGATGGATGGATGCAGACAGACAGACAGACAGACAGACAGAGGCAGGCAGATAGATACAGACAGACAAGTAGGGAGATAAGAGAATAGAGAGATGATAGATAATAGATGATAGCTGATAGCTAGATGATAGATAAGACAGAATAGATGAGAATGGATAAATGAGATAGATAGATTGATAGATATGATGTAGATAGATATAGATGATAAATATGATAGATATGATAAATATGATAGATAGATAATGATAGATTTATAGATAGACAGTTTCATCTGGCTAAATTCACCAAGGAATCCCGGCAATTCCTGGCTGAGGAATTCTGGGAGTTGAAGTCCGCAAGTCATAAAGGGCCAAGTTGGAAGACCCCTGGCATAGCCTAACTATTATACAATACCTGATCAAGGTCAATAGGGAAAACTCGATTCACTTAACAACTGTCCCAAAAGGTCGTAAAATTTTAGCTGCCTTGCTTCTGGCTTCAATTGTGGTTATCAACCGAGGAACACCTGTATAGCTGTCATGCTTGAATAACCCACAGGAGGGAGGCTGGGTTCTAGGAACCAGCTGAGATATAAATCTATGGTTTACAAAGCCATGATGGCTATACACGATGGCTTATTGCAAGTCTGTCTAATGCAGCTGTCGGTGTTGATTGGCAGCAGCTGTTCCCCTCCCTGGTCTCGGAGGGTTCTGCTTTAAGTGTCACAATACAACTAGACCTTCTTGTCCAATTCTCCGGCCAGTAAGTGGAAAAGAACAGTTAATAGTTAACCAGCAACTGGTCGACCTTGACAAAGGCCGCCTTCTCTGCGAAGCCAGATTGGTTGAACTGTCTCTAGAAGGAGATAAGAGGAACAAAGTACTTATCTGATTCACAGCCAGAGACAAAATTGTGGGCGACATTGTGTAGCTAAATCTGAAAGGCAAATAAAGCTCAGAACAGTCAGAACTGGGTTTGGCTAGTATAAAGAAAAGAAGAAATAGGGGAGACATGATAGCAGCGTTCCAGTATTTGAGGGGCTGCCACAAGGAAGAGGGGGTCACATTATTCTCCAAAGCACCAGAAGGCAGGACGAGAAACAATGGTTGGAAACTGAACAAAGAGAGAAGCAACCTGGAATTAAGGAGAAACTTCCTAACAGGGAGGACAATTAACCAGTGGAACAGCTTGCCACCAGAAATCGTGGGCGCTCCATCGCTGGAGGTTTTTAAGAAGAGACTAGACAGCCACCTGTCTGAGATGACATAGGTTCTCCTGTTTGAGCAGGGGGCTGGACTAGAAGACCTCCATGGTTCCCTTCCAGCTCTATTCTATTCAATCTCAAGTGCTGCACGCATTTATACTTCAAAATATAAAATATATAAAATATCTCAACTCCTGAATGAATTATCTGCTTAGCTTACAGAAAGCTTGGGTATCCTGGAGTAAAAATCTAAGAAGAGTTTTGAATGAATTTTAAATTAAAAGGACGTAGGGGAAAGGTTAAGTTTTGTTTAGTGGCAAAATAATTGGATTCTGTAGAAAGGCCTTTAAAAAATTAAAACTAAAATTAAAAATTAAAAGTGATTTCACTTTTTTCCCCTTTTTTAAAGATTTCACCTCCTTTAAAATCAAAGCGGTTGGGGGAGAAATACCTTACAGAAAAAAGACATATTTCCAGGCCACACAAATGTACCCTAACGACTCCATCTCCTGTTTTTTAAGAGTCGAGATTCAGGTAGTCCTCGACTTAGGATCACAGTTGAGAGCCCAAAATTTCTGTTGCTAAACGAGACAATTAAATGAGGGGGTTTTTTGCCCCGTTTTACGACCTGCCTTGTCAAAGTTGTTAAGTGAATCACTGCAGTTGTTAAGTTAATAGCACGGTTGTTAAGTGAATCCGGCTTCCCCTTTTGATTTTGCTTGTCAGAAGGTCGCAAAAGGGAATCACGTGACACACACACACCCTGGGATGCTGCGACCGTCATAAATACGAAGCAGTTGCTGAAGTATCTGAATAGTCACATAACCGTAAGGATGGATGCTGCGTCGGTCGTCCGTGTGAAAAAGGGTCATAAGTCACTTTTTCAGTGCCACTGTTAGCTTCAAGTGGTCACTAAATGAATGGCTATAACTCGAGGAGTATCTGTAGTTTCAAAGGGGGGAAATGAAGGGATTCTTGCAATACGATTGTGCACAGGATCCGCCTGGGTGGC